TCTGAATTGTGAGAATCTCTGCTCTAACTACTAGAGCATTATCGGTCGGGGCCTATTTCACAACCGAAACATTCATTTAAATGTATAGAGTACGCATAGGTAACAAAGACTACATTACATTTCTGAATATGTATATTAACTCTTAGGTATAACTTGTGCAAAATCAGAACTAAATCAGTTGCAATTCTTCTTGATATAATTTTCTTCCAGTCATTAGAGTTTTTTTCCTTTTTCTTGGGTGAAATAAGTTGGAATGCTGCTCTTACTTTAGAACAATGGTTGGGTTCTCTACCCAACTCTGAACCTAAAATATAAAATGATTTGCAAGACACCGCATGAGACAAAAATGAATTTAGACAATATTTAAGTGTAAGAATACCCCCACTCAGATCTCTTTGGAAAATAATGAATTAAGCATGTTGCACACATTTTTTTCTTTGTAGCTTTGTAAGCCTGTCACAATAACCAATAAATAAATTAATTGAATAATACATTTAAACAAATGATTCATTCTTTTTTTTCTCTATTTCTATCAAAAACTGGTGACCAAAGTCTTTAGTTTTGTGCCTTGGTCTCAACTTTGACGGACAATTTTGTTTACAAAGACTTCAAAATTCATTTTATTTGATGTTTTGTTTAATTAGTTTGGATATTTAAAATGTCTTCCAGTTCCAGTGTTAAATCTCCATTATAATTTGAAGTTTACTGATCTTTTACAATTTGCTTTTGCATTATTGTTGTCAAAGCCAATTGCCATTATGTTCCTTTAAAAGGGTCTCAAAACAACAATATTATCATTTATCGCAAAAACTTCTGGAACAATTTATCGTCCAGCAAAATTTCTTAATGTGACAGGCCTATTCTTGAGCCCCATTTGAGATATTTAAAAAAAGCATTTTGTTATATGCACCTATTGGGATTCTGATCCTTGGACCTTCATAGGGACAGTGACTGAAAACCAAATGAGCACAATAAGAGACGGCCCACTTCTTAAGGATCTGGAGACTGTTTATTCTGATGGGGGCTTTGCTTTGACTCGGTGTGATAAATGGAAGATGAAATCATGACAATGCTTTTAAAAAGTTTAGCCTTTGATAGCAGTGTTCCTGTGATGGAAATACCAACCGGTCGATGAAGGTCTTGAAGATAAACTAGTTAAAATGGCAGCCGCCAGCAATTTAAGATGAAATCAATAAACACCACTGAGCTGAGAATGTATGCTGCTGCGATTGTCTGAGATAAATAAAAATGTTTCCATTTTAGACATAAATGTTTATAGTCGTAACAAATATTAGGATTTCTACCGACTGTTTTGTCAGTTTATTTCAACAGTTCCCTGCTCACTGGTGGCTAAAAGTTAGGTAGAGATCTTCAACTTTTTAATGATGCCGTAATATCTCCCGTTGACTCAAAGTGTAGATTTTCTCTTCATGACAGCATCAAGTCATGAAGAGACTTGCCTTCTTTTAGTGTTAAAGAACTCTGACTATCGGATTATCATAATGGATCCCTATTCAGCATACCAGCAAGATAATGAGAGGATTCAAATGCTTTGGAACCTTGCGAAAGGTGAAAACAGCTTGATGGAAAGAAGGGGAAATCTGAATGAACAGAAATTAAGTAGGGTAAAATAAGGAGAAGTAAGGATGGCAGCAAAATGGGGGTGGGGAGTAGATTCAAGGGTGAGAAAGGGCCAGTGAATATGGTCCAACGAAACCCCCAAATAAAGGAGAATGGGTAGGCAATGTGGAGGGAGAACAAGAGAGGAGGAGGGCTGAAATGATGAAGGAATGGATGAAGGGTTGGTGTAAGGGTTTGGAGCACAAGGGTGGTTTTGGGTGACAGGCCTCATTCAATAAACCTCTATTCTTCCCCCTGCTGCCTTCTCTTTTCATGCAAAACAGGCCTGTTCAACCTCCTAGCCATCCGTCACACAGAGAAAGACCATGGCAGGCCTTTTGCGAGTCTCACACTCACATAATCCACCCACCCCACTCTACGATCCAGCACCCAACAGGGGGTGGAGTGGGTAACAAGACGATATATGTGTGTTGGACCACTGGGGGATGGGCAAAGGGTACCTTCAGCACAAAAAAGTGAAGAAGGGCCACCTAGTCTAAGTGTGAGATTAAAAAGCAGGGAGAGTTAACATGTTTTGAGGTAGTTATATTGGGGCCCCTGGAGAAAAAGAAGGGTTAACATGTCTGGGGCACTCCAAACCATCTCACCAAATTCACAATCAAACATTCATTTAAGAGCTAGACTTCATTTGGATATTACAGTAGTTAGAAGATAAGCATGCAAAGTTCTGCTTTCCATTGTTTCTTCAAATTACGGCAACAGCTTTCATGTATTATATAACCTGCTTTCATAGGTTATTATATTAGTGGGCGTTTTGTATCTAAATATGGTGACACATTTTAAAATGTATATTATGTCAGTACTATTTATCTATTTGTTTATTTTGGCTATGCAATTTCACAGCTCCCTATAAATCAGTCACACTTATAAAAAAAAACCCCAAAGCATTATATTCATACTTTATTTTGCTACTTAGTAAGAAGTAAAAAAAAAAATCACACTTGTTAAATTGGTGTTGTTCATATTTGGGACAAATCTTCCTTGCAAAGTAGCAAATGGTGTATTTCACCATGTGTGTTGTGAATTTTACTTTTTCTTCTAAAAAGTCTAATTCACATGTTTCACATGTGCTATTTTGCACATGATGAGACACCTAATGTTCAGACTGGAAGATAAAGTCATTTATTTTGGTTTTTGTACATTGGAGTAGTTATTTTTGAGTTATGCTTCATCATCAATTATTCATATATAGTTAAATATGAACCTATGTTAATTTAATGATTATATAATGTGATTCAGTTCTCACAGCACAGTAGTCTGATAGAACGTCAGTAAAGAAGCTGCCTAAGCAGACTTTAATGCATTTCTTCATTCTAAGTAAGGACAGTGTGAGAGTGGAGAGGAATATCTCCCATTCACCAGTATGACCTCCAGCAGAACCCAGTTCATGAAGAGAAGCTGCGGTATACCTACCAACTTACAAGTCATGAAAAAGACACTGACAAACAGAGGCACTGGGCTAGGAGTACTTTCTATGAACCAAAGAAAGAAAGAACAGTGTTGCTGGTGGCAATAATTGTAAATATAAAGACGGTGTAGCCAACTGACTTCTTGGAACAGAGAAGCTCTACTCTGAACTCCACCTGGAAGAAGAAGTTCTCTCATGTGATATTGAAGGCATCTGAAGGCCAGGCCAGCCTCCTGCAGCACATTCTCTCACTCCACATCCCATGGAGGAACAGACTCTCCTTTGCACTCAGCTGCAAACTGCTCCACATCACTTCAAAGGGCATGCATTGAAAACACCAACACAACCACGTCTTCTCAAAAAGCAAAGTTGGGAAGCTGATCCCTCAAAGCAGAGAGGCTGCTGCCCACCACTGCATACTCAGACCTTGTCCTTGAACAACACAAAGAAGAGAAGACAAAGGGCGGACCTGGGACCCGACGCTGTGTTGAGGATATGGACACAGTTCTCACTTTAAAGACAGACCGGAAGATTAGACAGGCAATAGAAGTGATTCCAACATCCCAGCAGCTCTCGCTTCAAAATGCAAAGGACAACAAGGTCACGAGTCTCTTTAACATCCACAAACCCCAGGACTGAACAACCAACTATCATCAAGGTATAAAACATACATATACAATATATAACTCTCTGAATTAGAGAACAGAACATTTGAATGGTCTCTGCTGCCACCACCAGGAACCTCACTGTAAGAGCAGACAGTTGACACACATCAACACATTTTTGTTCTGTCGATCCCTCAAATGGTTTCATCAGCTATACTCTGGTTTATATCCAACCAGTCTAAGTATAAGTATATATCCAACCAGTCTAATATAATTTTGAATAATAAAAACAGCAATAAAATCAGCAATCATGACTTTAGATAATGCATGACTCTCTCCAATCGAAAGAATCTCGGTTCCGAATATGAAGAAATTAATAGAGAATTTTCAAAAACTATTTCTTATTTGGATATTTGTTTCTGGGAAGTAGAAATAATGTTATCTGACTTAAAACAGGAAAAAATCAGTATAATTAAAAAAAAGGGGGGGGAAGTTTCTTTGTTTTTTTTTATCATGTTCATAAAAACAAATAGTTTAAATTGCATCTATGAAAGTTGTCAGATTGAAAATGTCTACCTCTATAAATTACCCACATAAATATTATTGTCAATTACATGGTTATTTTCTTTGATTTTTTAATATTGGCCAGGAATGTTCCCATCACAAGTACTGATTTAGTAGACATTATCAAATGGACCAAACTATTGACTTCAGTGGAGATTTTGGCATTTTAAGGACCAAAATGACAATGATTCATATAAGTAACAAAAAACCCAAAATAAGATCAAATAATTTTTTTCCAAATCAGTTTCTTTCAATACAAAATTTATGAAACTTTAACAAAAACTGCAGATTTGTGTCTTTAACCAAATATGGTTAAAACATATTTGTTTTTTATTCAGTGGGTAGAGAATCAAAAAATTCTCGTCAAGTAAGAATACAGATACTTCACAATAAATAAAAATACTACACTGCACTGCACAAATTTATTTTTTCATGCCTAGCACTTCAGATTTATTTATTAGGATTGCCTTTGAATATAGCATTTCATTCAACCGATTTGGAGGCCCCATAAAAGTCGCTTTACTTAGTTCATATGACCATGTAAAGAGACATAGAACATAAAAACAGTTACATGTAAGATGCTTGGAAACTGCTACTCTAAAATCCTTCATTGTCCTGCTATAGAAAGGGAAGGAAAATTTTCAAGGTGAACCTTCCAAGAGAGGCTTCTTCAGAATCCCCAGACGCTCTATGAGAGTGATGTTTTCTGGCTCGCTATTTACAACTAGGGGGCGCAAATGTAAAATTATGGGAGGTGCATCTCTTTACGGAGAAAAAAAAGGAAGAAGAAGGAGCCGAATTGTGGCTGGGCTACACTGCTTTAATTGAATGAGGCTAAAGAACAGCTAAAGTTTGTGTTTTTGCTTTTAAAATAATAAAAGGAAATACTTCCAGTATTCAGTCAGAAAGTCTGAGACTGAGGGGTAAGAACATTATCGCTGTATCCAGCTGGTTGAGGCATGCACCCGCTGGCTTTTTCATACAATTCTTGAAGCATGCTAAGTGCTTAGCTAGCTTAAGATAACGTTGCTAACAGCTAACACGTTTGCACGGGCATATAATAAATTATCAAAGGACTATTGGCATTGAATTACGTACATGTTATACTCTCCTTGTGATGTAAATGACGTTGATTTATTATGTTTCCGGATAAAACTGCTTTTTCAGACAGAGTGGTGGGATTTAAGCTTACGTTTTGAAGCTATCGTTGCTAGCTCAGTGCGCGCTCAGCATAGCATTGAGGTGAACTGTTGAATGAGTTCTTGGTGTTTAGCCGTTTAAACACGCCGCCGTTTCACCGATGAAGGGCTCTAATAAAGGTGTTTTAAATCTGAACTTTAGTGCTCGCTTTATCCAGCCATCAAAACCTGTTCGAGCCGCTGTGCAGGTAGCATTCCGCCTCTGGAAGAGGTCCACATGGTAATTAGTGTTTACACCTGCTTATCACTGCTGGTTCGTCAAGAATCAACCAAGATTCAAACTTGCATTAATGTGCATGGTGGCACATTAAGCTGCAAATGATAAAGTTATGCAACCCAACTTTTTTAGATATAGTAAAGCTTAATTAGATATGCGAGCGAAGATCAGCGATTTCTTCTTAAAGAGCAACGAAAAAACATTCATTGTTCGGTCATGAATGTAAATGGAAAAATAGAAAGAGCCACCAGCGTTTTGGAGCGGTTCGTTTCTTATTTCACAGTACAGCTATGACCCTTAATCACTTGTTTTTGCGGAGCTCATTATGAAATATGTAACTAACAAGTTTTGATGAAAGATCGACCTGTTTTAGTATCCAATATAAATATCAGCTAGCTGACTTGTATCAGTTGGTTTATTCATCGATAGTTGGCCAGTGTTTTACTATAGGATATAGTGGTTTACTATATCCGCCAACATACCATTTCCTGTTCTGCTTTTAGTGAAGTATCGGTGTTTGTTTTGTATTTCTTTTTTCTTTTTTGAGGACCAAACTCCAAATCCAGTGTACTTTACTGTGTGTAGTGCATCATTGTGGCATATCATGTTAAAATTTCCAATCTATGCATTATTTTTTTTGTCTCTATTCAAGACAATTACAGAAAGAAGTTCTGTCTTGAAACACTAATAATTTCAGCTAGATGTTAAATATCAGACCATTCCATGGGTTAATTAAGCATTAACCATTTTATTTGTCCTGGTTTAGTCAGACCAGAATTTCAGCAACAAATATCCTATTGCTGAAATTCTTGGGAAAATTTACAGCACTGTACATTTTTTTCTATTTAGATGTCAGGGATTTTTTTTTAGCAACTTCACAAATTTGAACAGTTTCAAGGTCAGTAGTGTTGATCAGTTTTATTTCTGTGTAAAACACAGACGGGCCTCCGTGTGACCGCGCTGTGACGGCAGTTGGACACTGAGCTCCTCTGACACTGATTACACATGTTTACACTAACAGTCATTTCTGCTTCCAGTGCTAATACAGCATGTGTTTGCTGCTTGCAGGTGACGAGCTGGCGCAGGTTGTGGGCTGTCCGTGGACAATGCGAGACAATGGCGGTAGCCTGGCCCAGAACCGCTGGCAGGGGGACCTGGGGCTGACTGCTGTGGGGCAGGACAGCACTGCAGGAGGTGGGCACTTTGGATCATCCTGGATGTCACTACCAGAAGCTCTATACATCCTCCTAACTTGTGCCATGTTGTTTTCACGTTTTCTGTTATTGTGCATGTTTCACAGTTGTGTTATTCTACCTTTATTTAACCCAGAAGTCCCATTGAGAGCAGGCCCTCTGCCTGGACACAGAGGATTCTCTGTGTTAAATAGTTTTTATCGGGTCAGATCCTCTGGAGCAGAACCGGTAATCCTGAGTTTGTCTAAAAGTATGGTGTGATTCACCGAGTCCAATTAGTTTTGAAAGATTTCCAGGGAAAGCAGCATATCATTAAGACCAGGTGTCAGCTGTTGCAGCAGTGATTGATCTGTGACCATTAAAACCAACTGGAAAATGCTGGTTAATCTGTTTTTGTTCATGTAAAATCAACTTTAAGAATTTTTTGGTTTTCTCCACGGAATGCTGAATGTTTTGACTTTTTTTTTTCTTGTGTTTGTTTAGGGGGGATTCCTGGAGACCACCTCATTGTCCCTGTGTCAGGCCACAGTGTATCCAGCCCCATGCACATCAGGCTGGCCCAGAAAGAAAAGCTTTGGACAGGAGAATTTGTAGAAGATGAGGAAGAGGATGGGCCAGATGAGATTGAAGCTGTTGGTGATGAGGAAGAAATGAACAATCTGTATGAAGATGACGTAGAGGAGCAGGACGGCAAAAGCTGGCAGAACAACGGAGAGGAGGAAGATGGGGATGAGGCGGAAGATAGTGAGGAGCAGGAAAAGGAGGAATGGGAAGTCCCAGACCTTTCCTGTCAGTCTGCCCCATACAGCCAACTACCACAGCCCCAGGCTCATGGACCACAACATGGGGCAGAACAACTTGGTGAGCCATGTGTCGAGAACATTGTCTCCCAGACTGAAGTCCGTGACTCTTTTGGATCCCGGATCAACAACTACCAGGCCCGGAAGAGGCTCAAACGCTTGCGGCATGTATGTTTCCACAAAGACCTGGCCAAGAACTGGAAGAGGTGGCGACAGAAGGCCCGCTGGACCAAAACGGTGGGGGCCCAGCGGGGCCGAAGAGGGCAAAAGCACAGCTTGTTCAGCAAGCAAAAGAGGACAAAAAGACCTTATCACAAAGATGAAGGGGATGACAGCCAAGAGGAGCAGTTAACAGGTACAATGCAGAATTGTGTTCTGCTTCTGTTTCTGTTACTAGTAAAACTGCTTACACATTTGCAGGCTGAAGACAGAAATCAGTGCACACACACACACACACACACACACACACACACACACACACACACACACACACACACACACACAGGACAGCTTCAAATATAAATACAGTCTGTTCTCTCTGTGGGACGGGGGTTGAACAACTCGGATCAACTCGGCAGTTGTAGGATCAGCGTTTCTCTGGGCAGGAGAAATTCAGATGTAACAGCAGCTTCAGGCATATAGGTTGACACAAAAGTGTGCAAAGTTCCAAATGTTAAAACAGATGAAAAAACAAGATTAACAATAATTGTAATCATAATGTACAAGATTTTAACATAAACATACTGGGCAGTTTTTAGAATAGGAATATTATCCTCGCTATCCAAGAGTTGTGCAGATAAGTAGGATTACATTTTTAAATGTACATAATGTGGATGTGTAGCGAATCCAAAAGGACATCAGACTATTTGAAATACAGCACAGCAATGCAGAAAAACAAATGCAATAACAGCAGAAATGTTATTAAAAAATAAAAAAAGAGTGAAAAACAGTACAAATTTGATCATCCACATGCCAGCAGTGCTCAGAGCTCTGACGCTTCCAGAGTAACAGCTGCAGGGAGGAAGCAGCTCCTACAAGCCTCTTTGGTGCACTACTTTCTATATAAGACATAGGAATGCACTGTTAGAAAACTTTGGGAAAATATTAATATTGGTGTTAAGGCCAATAGCCTATAATTAGCAATATTACACACTGTCACATGACCAAAGTCGTGTCACATAGCCAACTCCCCCCCCCCCGTAAAAACAAACGCCAATAAAACGGAAATGCCGATTGTTAATATTGGTTTAGTTTTATTTACTAGACTGATACTAATGTGTTTAAAAAAATAACTAACATTGGCTGATACTGACATTAGTACCGATATGTCATGTATCCCTAATACTTCATAGATCACTTCTAATACTTCAAAACATGGAGGGCATGGGTCCTCATGGTCCCATGCCCTCCATGTTTTAGGTGTTTCCCTTCTGCCACACACCTGGATTGAATATATGAGTGAAAAACAGGCTTCTGCAGCACTTGATGGTCATGCAATCATTTGAATCAGCCGCTCTGGAATAGAGGTACAACTAAAACATGAAGAGGACAAGAATTGAGAAGCGCTGGCTTAATATATTTTGTTAGACCTGTTGCTTGTTTTCATATTCCATTTTGAAGTGACATAATAGTGTGTTAAACCTTTGTTTCCTTTTGCCTGACAGGTCTGCAGTTAAACGGCTCTTCAGACAAGCAGGATGAGAAACTGAGGCGGGAAGTGGGAGTGAGACCGATGGAAGTGGCTCTCAGTGAAGAACACACAAAATATATAACCGGTATGGAGGGCAGCTGAATTCTCCTGTTGAAATATCACAATGTAAATGTTTGTAACTATTTAAACAGAACCTGTAGTGCATATTTTTATCCTTGGATTTGGATCTCAGCTCCTTCTAAAACTAACCCGAGAGCTTACAATAAACATCTAGATGTGTTTTAGCAACAAGTTTGTTTTTTGGTGTTTCCAAAAACCTCCTGAATCGATGGGCCCTGCACCATTACCTAGCAACCTCAGCCGAGCCCAGCCATCACCTAGCAGCCCAATCAGACCTCCCGCATGTCTCGTCGGCTCATTTTACAGCTGAACAGCAGCTGCTGGAAAAAATAAGTTTTGTTGTTGGGCTACCATTTACAAACTGCCACTTCGTTCATGTTGGATGTGCAGGACATTTAACTTCTTCTGCTTTTGGGTCTGATTCGGGGCCAAAAATGTACGGTTGTATAACTGTGCATCTGTTTGCAGCCAATGCGTAAACATAAGACTTTGGGGTCGTGGCCAGCAGCAGCTCATTTGAATTTAAAGTGACAAGACGCTCGACAACAGCTCATTCTGAGAAGAGCTCCAAATAGACAGAACTGAGGAGACTAAGATCTCGTCATCTACGAATGATTTAGTGCAAAGAATGTAATGAACATGCCTTGTATGGCCCACCTGTTCAATGGAAGCAAAATAAGTTGCCTTTAAACAAATGAACAGATGTTGGTCCTGTTTTCTGTGATTGTTGTTGCTGAAAATACATCAGCAGCTTTGTTGGCATGGGTCTGGACGGAGTAAAACGGGAAGCGGTCAACGCGAGCTGAGTGATTGTTGCTTCTTCTCTGCTAGGCGTTCTTGAAGAGTCTCTGCAGCAGTATGGCAGTTTGATTCCTATCCATCTCGATGACGTCGTGGGAAAGCTTCAAGACGTTTTCCATGAGAGCTTCTCACAGCCACACAGGTCAGAGATGCTGCTCACCCCGTGTGTGCGTGATGAACATCCCGTCTAACAAAAGCTATAAATGGCTGTGCAAAGCGGGAGCTCATCTGATAAACTGACTGAAGCTGAATAATAAACTAAAAACAGCATACACTTTTTAAATGTATCTTTGTGAGCCTGCTGCTTTATTTTTATTAAATGACACTGTTTTCCATATCATGTGGTTGTTTAAAAGGAAAGCGACGGTCCAGCATCTCATTCAGACCTTCCAGCGTTCATCTGGATCGGCCGTGGCTAAAACATTCAGAGTCAACTATAAGCGCCACGTTTTGACCATGGATGACCTGGGCACTTTGTATGGTCAGAACTGGCTCAATGACCAGGTACAGCACTGCTGCACGTTATTACATCACACAGCAGCAGTCATGGTTAAAGGTGTTGGCAGTGAAACCACAGGCTGCTTCGTTTCATTCAGACGTTCTAGTGGCGTTTAGGAAGGAAGAACTCATGTGTTGCCTGTGTGGAGTGAAAACAATGAGGCTTCCAAATTCACTTCTAAAATATTTCACTAGAACTGATGTTTGTATCTGTGGAGTGTCTTTTTATCTTTGATATGAATGTTTATGTTTCTTCATTTGATTTTTATGGATTCATCTCATGGGCTACATCATGTGCTTTCTGTAGATTATGAACATGTACGGTGACCTCGTCATGGATTCTGTTCCAGATAAGGTAAGTGAACACAGAGCACCTTCACCTTTTCCTCTAGGTCATGCCTCAGACAGGGATCTGTTTGGATTCCACTCTTTAATTGTTGCCAGCAAAGCTGCTGGTGGAATGAGTTAGGTGACCAATAGGGTTCCTCATTCAAGAAACAACCAGTCAACCTGAATCTTGCTGTGAGCCCTTGTTTGTTTGCTACACAGTTGAACTGGTGAACCAATCGTTCACCAGTTGAGAATTCTGAGTTCATCATGGATTCCTGGCCTGTCAGGATTCAGAGATGAATGCTGTTAACTGAGTGAGGAATGAACAGCCTGTGTGTGCAAAGAAATGCTGCACTTCTTCATAAAATGTTAGAGATGCACCCATATGGCAATTTTACCTGATATAAATGTTGCTGTTATGGCTAATAACTAATATTTATCAATATTAGATGTATTTTTCGACCCTTTCAACGCTTCGGGGGAAAAGAATTGTGCGTTCTCCAACACATCTTCTCTGTTTCAGTTAAACTCCCACAATCCTGTGCTGCATCACTGTTAAATCAGCAACCTCCTCTCTTACAACCCAGAAATAAATGGCAACAAATTTGAAATAAATATCGGTTGTTTGAATCGACCCTGATTTATATTTCAGACCGATACCGATGTAGTTGTTGATGGATCGCACATCCCTACTACATGTTCATATAATCATTTAGAATCACAATGAGAGCAAACATGCTCAGTGTTTTCTGAACTGAGTGTTCTGGTCCCGTCATCTAACAAGTTGCACTAAGATCATGTTTCAATTCTTTAGACAGGGTCATAATGTCTTACAGCATTGTGTCATTTTCTCTTATTTTATTGTCATTTTTTGTTTTCTTGTGATATTTTCACTGTAAAGTTCTTTGGTAATCTTAATTGGATGTTAAGTGCTATACATGTGTATAAATCAAGCAATCAGTCATTGCATGTAAACTACCTTGTCGCTGCAAGAATAATGTCAGAGGAAATGTTAAGTTTTTCGCTTTATTTCTGATTAGAGACTCGTTCATATTCATTTAGATGCACTATGTAGAAAATGTTCACAGTAGAAAGTCAAGTGGTCAGGAGTGACTTTAAAAATGTGTTTTATCTTCAGGTCCACTTTTTCAACAGCTTCTTTTATGACAAGCTGAGGACAAAAGGATATGAAGGAGTTAAACGGTGGACAAAAAATGTAAGTGGACACTGTCCCTCCTTAGAATGACTCAAGATTTGTCAAAATATTTGATTGTGGATGTGAAAATGATAGAATGGGGTAGAAGGTTGTTGAGACACAGGCAGACAGCAGATGGGTTGTGTTCAGTTCAGATTACTGCTGCGTAGGTCGGGTAAAGTCAGTCCAGGGATCAGAGGGCTCTCCTGGTGCTAATTTGTTCCTTCCTCTTTTGTCAGGTGGACATCTTTCAGAAAGATCTGCTGTTGATTCCCATCCACTTGGAGGTTCACTGGTCGCTGGTCAGTGTTGACATTCCACGGCGTACCATCACCTACTTTGATTCTCAGCGGACCCTCAACAGGCGCTGTCCAAAGGTAGGAAAAGCCCCCAACAACCAGGTCTACAGAACCACTTTAGGGCACAGAAAATAATCTGCCTGCTGTTTTAGCTGTAATTGAACAGCACTAGACCAGGATGTTGGCATCAATATGCAGCTTCCATTCTAAAAGCCCATAGAACCATTGTTATTTATTGCCATAGTGAACGAAACATGTAAACTGTGATTGAACTGGATTGTTTTTGTTTTTATACCTAACTTTGTTTTCCTTTCCTTTATATCTGTCTTGATGGTTTTTATTCCAGCATATTTTCAAGTATCTTCAAGCCGAGGCCATAAAAAAAGACCAACGAGACTTTTTGACGGATTGGAAAGGCTTTTTTAAAATGGTAAATGAGTCTTTTTATTTTCATTCTTTTTTCTTTTTTTTTTTTTTTTTACTTGCTGCCATGCTTTATAGTTGATGCACTGAAGAGAGCATGAAGCTGAGATCGCACGCCAATCACGCCAACTATGAAGACTGTTCTTTGAACTTTTACAAAGTCAATTTGTCAACTCCTGAAAAATCTTAAATTTAAATGGTCAAGTTTTCTGCATGTGGACAGATTAAAATGCAGCAGTCCCTCCTCCTGACTGAGCTGGCAGCATCAGTGCATGCTAGCATACGTTGCATGGCAGTGGGAGCTTTTGCAGAAGCGTGTCTGTGTGAGCGACCATGTTCAGACCCACATGGAAAAAAAGACACTTATTGATTTTAATATGTTGTGTTTACAGTCACTTCTGAAGCAGAGCTGAGGAAAGCTTCAGTTGGCCTCAAATAGAGAAAACTGCTAGTTGTAATGACAGTAGAACGCCCCAGCAGGGGAGAGTAGATGAGTGTTTCAGTGAGGAGCTGTGGCAACACGTTGCATTTGGATGCGATGAGATGTGATTGGCTAATGTAAATGTATTTTGTATTTTACAGAATGTGGGTCGTCAGAACAATGACAGTGACTGTGGAGCTTTTGTGCTGCAGGTAAGTTTCTCCTTTTTGGTTGTCACATTTGCAAATGAATGGCAACTGTTCCTCCTGCTTTAAGTATTGACATTTTTATGTCCTAAAACAGTAAAGTTTTCCTGGGGCTTATTCTGTTTTCACTTGCAAGTTAGAATTGGTCCAGTTCAATACAGTTTATTTCTATAGCACACTGATTCTTGACCTTTTTTGAGGTACTGAACCCACCAGTTTCATATGAGCATTCACTGAACCCTTCTTCAGTGATAAATAAAATACGATTTTTTTTTTTTACAAATTCAAGACATTTTGAGCTCAAAGAACAAAACCAACACAGTGCATGAACTCGCAACAAATTATGGTATTACTTTATTGTGGCCCCAAAAAATATTTTGGCCCCATAAAAGAATTTCAGCCCCCAAAAATATTTATTTTTGCTATTTTACAAATTAAAAATACATTTGGATTTTTTAAAGAAGTTAACATTTTTTAATAGCTTGCTTTTTTTATTTATCAGAAATTGAATTTGTTTTTAGTCATTTTGAATCCACAAAATACTTTTTTACTTTTTTCCGTCTCCATGCAGAAGAGTTCCTTTAGTTTTGCCGGTGTGAGACTAGAGTTGTTCAACTTGGCGTTACATATCATGCAGATGGGACTCTGACTCCCATCCCGTTCCGTGGTGCACGTCAATCCATGTTGTACATATTCGTCCGACCACTTTCTGTTTTTGCTTGACATGTTTAGTACGGATTAAAATACTGAGAAAGAAACCACACGACGTACAACTGCAACAGCCGTTGAATACTGCGCGCACTAAATTCCCCGCAGCACTGATTGGCCAAGCAATGTCACGTGATCCTCTGCAGCAAGTGATGAACAAGCGGGGCGCGTCATCATGACTTTACACAAGTGTGTCTTTACGTCCGCGGCAGAGGATCCGCCGAACCCCTGAGACCGACTCATCGAACCCCTGGAGTTCAATAGAACCCAGGTTAATATGATCTGTTATGTTTCATCAGTTGTTTGTCACAAACTGTTTAGTATGAGATGGTTTTTACATTCATTTTAAATTAAACAGAAGTCATGGTTAGCGCTGCACTACTACTTGATGGTGTTTTCTAGATATACATTGAAGGACGGATATAAAAAGACTTGATAATGACAGAAGGTTGAATTATTTATTTTTTTCTAGATCCATTAACAGGTTAAGCTGAACTGTATTCTTCCAGCACATTTAAATACATGTGAAGCACTTTGTGAACGACCACCATCATAAGTCCTGCTCCTGTCTTTTTATTGAGTCTTTTTCAGTGACTATCTAAAAGCTGTTGGTGTTTCACTTCCTGTTCGATAGCAGAGCTTCTATACAGTTGCCTTTTACCCGGATTCATTGTTACAATGTTGTTCTCTGTGCAACTTAGTAACTTTATGTCTCATCTTTCCTACACCATCCTACAGTACTGCAAGTGTTTGGCACTAGGACAGCCATTTAACTTTGGGCAGCAGGATATGCCCCGACTAAGGAGGCAAATGTACAAAGAACTGTGCCACTGCAAGCTCACTCTGTGACCTTGCACCTCTATCTCACCTGGATCCTAACAACACAGAGGGACAACAATACATCAGTCTTTTTTTTTTCCCTTTTTTTTTTCCCTCTGTTTGCCTTTTGAAAACTGGTTTGGAGTTCACACATCACAGCTACTTTACCGTCTTTGACAGAGACGGTAAGACAAGGTTCCGTTCTGTGATTGGCTTAGGCAGCTTGTCCTAATTCACTTATCTCTCATAAACAGTATGAAGGTGTAGAAAGACTCCAGGCCAGAAACAGCTTGTCCTGCAGTAAAACCTGCTTTCATGTAACAAACTATCTGAAGCAGTTTATGTAAGCTTGTGATTGAACACTTCCTGTGAGTTTTCCATTCATTTGATTCATCTCTGCAGGTGATGTTTTAGCAATTCCAACACTAACACCACAGAAAAGAAACTGCTAGAGCCGGTTTTTGGACATTGTCATCTGTGTAGTACAATGTGGCGTTTTGATGTATATTCTATTTTTGAAGCGATCAGTCGGCGTTTCTTGGCAGGATTGAAACTGATGAAACTATTGTATTCTGCTGCTGGAAACCAGCTTTCTTGTGGCGCTTGTAGAAGGAAATAAGAACTTGTATGCTTTTACCTGACTTGGGTGCCCGAAACTTCCTGCCTCCTCCAGTAAAACGAATGAAAAAGCTAGATTTGAAAGATTGGATGAAAAGCCGCCCAAAGCATATTGATACAATGGCCCGGAACCGGGGGTACCTTTTTAGTTTCATTTATCTTTTTGTGTTTTTATTGCTGTCAGTAAATGTGGTGATATACTTATTGCTTTAAAGAAATGGTGTAAAAAAAAAACAACAAAAAAAAACAACTTTGTTCTTTTGGATTAAGTTCCAAATGTTGTTTAGTATTTCTTTGATAAAAGCCATTTTGGTAAGGACCACAACAGATACACAACAGGCACAGTATGCCCACAATGGAGTTACAGTGCTGCTTTTTTTTTTTTTAAATAAAAAACATGTGGATAGTTGTCTTTTTGTTTTTGCATTCTTTTCTGAGTGAATACAACAGAGTTGTTTTCTATATCTTCTACAATGGATTATGGTTAGTTGAAAATAAAAAGATGTGGCAAACAAATGTGTATTTTCTTAAATCAAAATTTTATTTATATATATATATAAGTGCAAAGCAAGGATTTTTACAGGTTTTCAAAAGAGTGGTTTACTATTTTAATATCATTCAGTAAGCATGAATTATGTCAGAAGGAAAATCATCAGCTATGCTTCAACCAAAAATTAGTCATGCCCTAGAAAATTTAATTAAATTCAGATTTGAAGTTGTTTTTGCTTATGATTGGACATGATCCTGGTATATTTGCAGAAAATCAAATGGACAATAAATATTCTGAATAGTTTACTAAGCAAGGAATATTTTGATGGCAGAAAATGTACAAATATAAGGAAACGAGGCAGAGACAGTTTATGGATTGCATAGAAAAATTGTGCAGCTGTATGACCTGAAAAGATTTATGAATATAAATCAGTAAAGAAATTATTCTATAAAAATTAACTAATACAGCTGTAAATGAAATGAGTAGATGTTTAAATACTGTGATGGTCCACATACTGTTGGAAATCCCAGTCTTCATGGAGTGTGTGTGTGTGTGTGTGTGTGTGTGTGTTCTCCCTGTGTGAACACGGACTCTCCCTGGTACTGCAGCTTCCTCTCACGGTCCAAAAACACGACTGCCAGGCTCATTGGTTTCTCTAAATTGTCCTCAGCTGGTAATGCATTTTTGTTTGTGTGTGTGTCCACACACCCTGAGGATAAACAGTTTTTTTTTTTCATACTTTTGTTTACTTGTAGTTTGTTTGAACATTTTGTTCAGATTTTTCTCTTTGGTTTTCTAAAGCTCGTCAACCCCAGCTTTAGCATTCAGTACAGCTATTTGTTTATGTTTAAACAAGTTTAAAAAAAAAAAAGTAGACCAAACAATTTGGACTGTATAGTCTTTCTTCTATAGTGCCCTAAATGCAGCTGATTGTAGTGGTGGTACTTCTGAAAGTTTTCTGGTATTTCTGTTGCTTGTTGGTTGCTGGAAATCTGACTTACAAGTGCATTTACTGTCACCTACTGGACAAAATTGGAAATTTGGAAAAAAATATTTTCTACTAAAGAAGTCTATACATTTCAAATATTGTATTAATTGACCTGATATTGATAGAAACAGCAAATTAACAAACAGGGTGATGGGAAATGTGTTATTATACCAGGACCTAGTGCAGTGTTTCTCAAACTTCTTCTGGCTGAGGATCACTTCAGCCACGTTGCAAACATTTATGGACCACCGAACTTGAAAATGACAAGTACAACGTACAAAGAAAATATTTGTCTCTTAACGCACTTTTCTTCCCAAGGAAAATGGTGGCGCTGATTTGTAAATGTGACTGACGAAACGGTCAACAAAGTCATGAACACCTGTACTCAGGGCATTTTGAGTTATTTAGAGATTCTGAAAGTGTGGATTCTAAGCTTTACAGTGATGTCAAACACATGGGAATGAATGCTACCAAGTGTCAATAACATTTAGGGATATTTGTAATTTAGAAGAGCAGATAAAAAGAAAAATAGATTTGAATTTCTTTGGCAGGAACAAAAGTCCTCTTCCGCACCAAAAATGACCCCTTACACCCATTACTTTCAATTTTATTTATGTATTTAATTGAATTGTTTTTCATGAAATGAAACAAATAGAAGTTGACGTGCGAGCACAGCATTATAAGCAAGCAAAATCGTAAAAAACAAACAATAGTTCTCACTGAGACTTGGGGCATACTGTTCAATGAAAAGAGCCGTTCAAAAGAACTGAATCACTGGTTAAGGCGAAGGACTCATCAATACTCTCAGTCAGTATGACTTGGCTTCCTGTAATCATATTGTTTTCGTTCCAATTGTGTTTTCAACCTGTTTTTGGAGGAAGCTCGAGCACCCGGAGCATTAACAGGGAAACTCCTTGAAGAAAGACCCCAGGCCAGGACTCGAACCAAGAACCTTCTTATTGCAACTGTACCACTGTGCAGTCCTGAAATGACAATGCTTACTGCCACTTTTTAAATGCTGAAATGTCTTCCCGTATCATTGAAGTTGTAATACTCTTGTCATGTCATGTAAATTTATATATGTCATGTTTATATAATTAGCTTTACTACTTTTTTTTATGTAATTAATGGAATTTCTTAAATCACATGTACATCAGTGATTTAAGAAATTTCCTTCCAGTTCAATGTGTGCTGGAATTACAATACAATTCAATACTCTGTATACTGTACATAAATATTGTGCCTTGAATTTTTCAACCCAATGAATGCTGATAAAGTATCTGAATTCAGTTATTCATAAACCTTTTAATCCAAAAAAAATAAAATTTATGTATATATATAAACTAAATTAGTGGTCTTTGAAACTACCTCTGAAAACTACAGTTTTTTCTAAATAATGACGTTTGGAACATCATTACGTCTTCACTCCACGAGTTTCGTTTGAGTGGAAAAGTTAAATGAAGGCATACTGAAATCCCCAACCTTGAGAGGAACTCAAAGAGATGGCATCCGAGGAGAACTGTTTCTTTAAAAAATCTAAATACCGCCCGGCTGCCTTGTGAATCATCAAGTCCCACCCTGTTCCTCCTTTTTTTCTTCCACTTGCAAAACTAGCCAATCGGAACCCTCCGACGTCGGAATTATAGTAGAATGACGGCGAAATCCTCCAATGAGAACGCGGCATTGTACGTCCAACGTATATAAGACATTTCTGCCGTTTTTTCTTTCTTTGGAAATATGTCGGCTGACTATGATAACAGGTTAGTGAAATTGTGATCAAGTCTTATCGGAACATCTTATTTCGAGGTTTATTTGTGTTTAAATCAGTTTTTGAGCTGCTTGCTACAACGGAACGTTTTTGAACGCTTACTTAAGTAGAGTGTACCGATTAGCCGCTTAGGCCTCAGTCTCGTTTCACTGTCCTTAATTCAGTGGATAATTGACGTACACCAAGGGGAAATTTGGTGGATTGAGTTTCGAGTTGATGGGTCTTTGTTGGCTATAAGGGTACTGTATTGTTTTGGAGGCCTCCAACAGATCTGATTGTTTCTCAGGATAGTTTAATTAAATGGCTGCCGGCGCCATGAGCAGCACGTGAGTCCGTTCCATCAATTGCTCGGTCAGAGACTTTATTTTCCGTTAAAACCGACTTTTAAAGCTGCCTCGTCTCCACTAGTACCCAAGCCTCTCCGTTCATCACAAAATGTCCCTTATGTCGTGACTAGCTGGCGGTTCGGACTCGTGTTCTGGTACGCTGGGTGCACATGGTGTTGGTAGCCGGTAGCGAACAATACCGGTAGCACCAGCCTCACGGTTTCTAATAAGATTGGCATCCCATTCCTTCCCATTTCGCTATTGTAGCGGTAGTTCCCTTTTTGTGTGAAGTGTCTGAACTGCTATTGAAGGATTTCGCTGGCCTGCGGTGTATTTTGTTTTGTCAGTCAGGCCAAAACCATCAAAGTGCGAGCTAATTTTTTGTAGCAGGCCCGTTTAGTGTGAGTCGAGCCTGCCCGTCTTCTCACGACGGTTCTTTTTGTTCTCTCGACTCTGAATCAGCCCATTATTTATCATCCGTATTTTCACGCGGAGTTCCATAGTCGGACATCTTGAACACTTTGCTCTTTAATCCCAGCTCAGTCGACGCGCCTCGGCTTCTTTGCTCGGGCCGACAGGAAAACGACCATCTTGAATTGAGCAGGCAGTAAAAATGGCGGACTCACTCGGCCTGTAAGACTGGGGTGTAGTTCTTGTTAACGCGGCCTTTTGGGAATCAGTGTGTCATAAATTCGTATTTCAGCTTAAATGTGCCGACATTTTTATTATTTCTGTCAGTCATATAGTACCTGTTTTATTTTTTGCTGTTGTGTGATATAATAAGCTATCTGGAAACCAGTGCAGTAATGTCTTTTAATTGTTTTTTTCAGGGATAATGGCCCAGAGGGCATGGAGCCAGATGGCATCATCGAGGTAAGTCTCCCCCTTCTACCTGAGTCAGGCTCTACAGTAAGGAGTGTTTACAACACCTCCTTGCTTTTTGTCTTGTTTATCCTTCTAGTAGTTTACATTTCATTGTTTATTGGTGTTCAACTGAAAAGCCTGAGCCAGTTTATATAATTTGAGATGAAACATGTTGACATTTTAAAGTCACCAAACTCGGGGGGGTTTAACATATTTGGTTGTTGTCTCTTGCTCCTTCAGAGCAACTGGAACCAGATCGTGGACAGTTTTGATGAGATGAACTTGCGCGAAGCTCTGCTCAGGGGAATTTATGCCTATGGTTTCGAGAAGCCATCCGCTATTCAGCAAAGGGCTATTATCCCTTGTATCAAGGGTGAGTATCTTGGATTATAAATTCAGACTACAGTAATAGCTGTTTAATTTACTTGTAAAGGTAACCCCACCCATTCCCCTGCACAAGTTTATAAACTACATCAGGGCTGCTGAAGCGGCAATTCTCAGTGCATCAAATATGGCAATATTGGAACATTTTATATGGATGATGTAGTTAAAATTTGTCTTGATGTAAATGTCCAGAAGTTCAGCATCCATCAGAGGGTGTAAAAACTTGATGTGGCAGCAGTAATTCCTGCAGCTGTTGTTTAGAGCTGATCTGTTTCCACTCTGCTTTCAGGTTATGATGTGATTGCTCAGGCCCAGTCTGGCACTGGGAAGACTGCCACCTTCGCCATTTCCATTCTCCAGCAGATTGATGTGGAGATGAAAGCCACCCAGGCTCTGGTTCTGGCTCCTACCAGGGAGCTGGCGCAGCAGGTAGGATGGGGTTTATGTTTTTGTAAAGATGCTTCAGGTTTAAAGGGCTGTTGGTTAAGGACAACACTTCAAGTACAGTAATAATGTGGCTAAACAAATAAACCACATAATTAATTTTGCCCTATTTCATACCAT